TTTTTTTTTAATCGAAAGCCGTGTCGAAGAAGAATGAAAACAGCAAATTCGCTTATGGGATACATAGAAAAGCTGCTCAACCTCCCAACATTCAAAAAAGAAACAATGAAAAAGCATAGAAACAGAAGAAAACAACAAGAAAAACAAAAAAAGCATTAAAATTATGAGTTTTTTGGAATTTTCCCAATTTTTTGTTGGTCCCGACACGAAAATCAGGAAAGAAAAATTTAAAATATGCAACTCTAGTGTAATCAATCAGCTCCCCACTAGGAACCTAGCCATGTGTGGTCATGAAACGTGGAACCCCCCGCCGTACATCGTACGACGTACGCTACGTGGTCATCCTCAAGGAATGTTCACAAGAGGATATCTCACGCTCGCTCGCTTTACGGATTGGTTAACAAACACTATATCTGAACAGAGTTCGGAAAGCTGAATCGGAGTAGAATAACTACATGCATTTGCATACACGACACCAATTTTAAGTGACAACGAATCAAGAGGATCACGAACGGATTTCACATGATATTAGAAAAAAACATGAACAACTGATTAGAATGAATCTGAAAGAGAACATGTTGAATTGGGAAACATTTGAAAAGATACTACACTTGCCCGTGTCATATTGAAAACGAGGCCTTATTTCCACCATAAATGAATTGACTGATCAGTTAGAGTGGAAGTGCACACCTTCCAAGAAATGATTAGAATACTGTAGAATACAACAATCAACAGATGAAGTTAAAATCTTCAAAATAGTATGCGTATTAGGAAAATGAAAACGGAGGAGTTTGAAAAGTATAAAGGATGACATAAGAAATAACAAGCGACTAATCGATAACACATATATCTGAAAATAGAGCAACAATAGAAAATTCGATAAAAAGTGGTAAATTGATCAAACGACAGCGAACTACAGTGAGGGATCAACTTGACAAGCAATGACTAGATGTTGAAAATTTAATATATAATTCATGCAAGCATTTATTTTTGCCTTCTTCCCACAACAAATAAATGTCATGCAAAGTCGCGATAGAGATAATTCGAAGAAACGAATGTACGCAATGTAATATCCGTTCTTTTAGGATACATTACCGTATGAATATAAACACGGTCGGTTCGTATTACTCAGTAATATACATGGGCAAAAAATCGCAAATCACCCTATTTCAACTTCAAACTTCCTAAGAATGTTTGCGGATCAGTTCCGAAAACCGCAGTTGGTTTGAAATTTCTGAGAACCAACTGCAGTTGAGTGAGATTTTCCATGTTTTTTCGCATTGGAGCAAGGTTTCGCAAT